GTTTTAAAGTAGAAATTTTATATTTTAGGTGAAGATTTTAGGGTTTGAGCCATAATTTGGGATTTTAAAGTAGAAATTTGGGATTTTAAAGTAGAAATTTGAGGTTTTAGAGGAGAAATTTGGGGTTTGAAGGGAAAATTTGAGGTTTTAGAGTAGAAATTTTGTGTTTTAGGTGAAGATTTTGGGGTTTGAGGGTGAAATTTTGGGATTTGAAAGGGAGATTGTGGGATTTTAAAGTAGAAATTTGATGTTTTAGATGAAGATTTTGGGGTTTGAGGGTGAAAATTCGGGGTTTGAAGAGGAAATTTGGGATTTTAAAGTAGAAATTTGAGGTTTTAGAGGAGAAATTTGGGATTTTAAAGGGAAATTTGTGGTTTTAAAGTAGAAATTTGATGTTTTAGATGAAAATTTTGGGGTTTGAGGTGAAGATTTTGGGTTTTGAGCCATAATTTGGGATTTTAAAGTAGAAATTTGGGGTTTTAGATGAAGATTTTGGGGTTTTAGGGGAAGATTTTGGGGTTTGAGAGTGAAAATTTGGGGTTTGAAAGGGAAATTTGGGATTTTAAAGTAGAAATTTGTGGTTTTAAAGTAGAAATTTTATATTTTAGGGGAAGATTTTGGGGTTTGAGGGTGAAATTTTGGGATTTTAAAGTAGAAATTTGATGTTTTAGATGAAGATTTTGGGGTTTGAGGAATAATTTGGGATTTTAAAGTAGAAATTTGGGATTTTAGGGTAGGAATTTGGGGTTTTAGATGAAGATTTTGGGGTTTGAGGTGAAAATTTGGGGTTTGAGGGTGGAAATTTGGGGTTTGAAGAGGAAATTTGGGATTTTAAAGTAGAAATTTGTGGTTTTAAAGTAGAAATTTTATATTTTAGGTGAAGATTTTAGGGTTTGAGCCATAATTTGGGATTTTAAAGTAGAAATTTGGGATTTTAAAGTAGAAATTTGAGGTTTTAGAGGAGAAATTTGGGGTTTGAAGGGAAAATTTGAGGTTTTAGAGTAGAAATTTTGTGTTTTAGGTGAAGATTTTGGGGTTTGAGGGTGAAATTTTGGGATTTGAAAGGGAGATTGTGGGATTTTAAAGTAGAAATTTGATGTTTTAGATGAAGATTTTGGGGTTTGAGGGTGAAAATTCGGGGTTTGAAGAGGAAATTTGGGATTTTAAAGTAGAAATTTGAGGTTTTAGAGGAGAAATTTGGGATTTTAAAGGGAAATTTGTGGTTTTAAAGTAGAAATTTGATGTTTTAGATGAAGATTTTTGAGGTTTTGAGCCATAATTTGGAATAAATTTGATGAAATGAGAATAAACCCAGAAACCCCAAAATCCCCAATTTCCCAACCAAACCAGATTTTTGAGAGGGGTAAAAAAATAATAAAAAATTAAAAAAAAAGGGGGTTGGGGCAGCTGTGGGGGAGGGGTTTGAAGCCCCCTCCCCAAATTTCTCCCCCCAGGTTCGTGGGAGGGGGCGGCGAGAGCTGCAGCCTGATCGCCGAGGGGCTCAGCACCGCCCTGCAGCTCTTCGACGACTTCAAGAAAATGAGGGAGCAAATGTGAGAGCTTTGGGGCATTTTGGGGATTTTGGGGATTTTTTGGGATTTTTTGGGATTTTTTGGGATTTTTTGGGGATTTTTTGGGGGTTTTTTTGGATTTTTTTAGGTTTTTTTTTTATTTTTTATGATTTTTTTAGTATTTTTTATGATGTTTTTAGGACATTTAGGATTTTTTTGGACCAAATGTGAGAGGTTTGAGGCATTTTGGGGACTTTTGGGGACTTTTGGGGATTTTTTGGGATTTTTTTGGGATTTTTTTGGGATTTTTTTGGGATTTTTTTTGATTTTTTTGGATTTTTTTTTATATTTTTAGGATTTTTTGGATTTTTTATGATTTTTTTATGATTTTTTTAGGAGCAAATGGGAGAGTTTTGGGGCATTTTGGGGACTTTTGGGGACTTTTAGGATTTTTTGGGGATTTTTTGGGATTTTTGTGGGATTTTTTTGGGATTTTTTTTGATTTTTTTAGGGTTTTTTTAGGATTTTTGATGATTTTTTTTTATTTTTTATGATTTTTTTAGGATTTTTAGGATTTTTTTAGGAGCAAATGTGAGAGGTTTGAGGCATTTTGGGGACTTTTGGGGACTTTTAGGATTTTTTGGGGATTTTTTGGGATTTTTTGGGATTTTTTTAGGGTTTTTTTTGATTTTTTTTTTTTTTTTGGATTTTTTTAGGATTTTTGGGGATTTTTTAGGATTTTTAGGATTTTTTTAGGAGGAAAAGGGAGAGGTTTGGGGCATTTTGGGGACTTTTGGGATTTTTGGGAATTTTTTGGGATTTTTTGGGATTTTTGGGATTTTTTTGGGATTTTTTGGGTTTTTTTTTTTATTTTTTTAGGGTTTTTTTGATTTTTTGTGATTTTTTTAGGAGCAAATGTGAGAGCTTTGGGGCATTTTGGGGACTTTTGGGATTTTTGGGAATTTTTTGGGATTTTTTGGGATTTTTTTGGATTTTTTTTTGATTTTTTTTGGATTTCTTTAGGATTTTTGGGGATTTTTTAGGGTTTTTTTAGGATTTTTGATGATTTAGGATTTTTAGGATTTTTTTAGGAGCAAATGTGAGAGCTTTTGGGGCATTTTGGGGATTTTGGGGAATTTTGGGGATTTTTTGGGATTTTTTTGGGATTTTTTTTGATTTTTTTTTGTTTTTTTTTTATATTTTTAGGATTTTTTGGATTTTTTATGATTTTTTTATGATTTTTTTTAGGAGCAAATGGGAGAGGTTTGGGGCATTTTGGGGACTTTTGGGATTTTTGGGAATTTTTTGGGATTTTTTGGGATTTTTGGGATTTTTTTGGGATTTTTTGGGGTTTTTTTTTATTTTTTAGGGTTTTTTTTTATTTTTTATGATTCTTTCAAGAGCAAATGTGAGAGCTTTGGGGCATTTTGGGGACTTTTGGAGATTTTGGGGAATTTTTTGGGAATTTTTTTGGATTTTTTTAGGAATTTTTTGGGATTTTTTTTTATTTTTTTTGGATTTCTTTAGGATTTTTTGGGATTTTTTTAGGGGTTTTTTGGATTTTTTTAGGGTTTTTTTTATTTTTTATGATTCTTTCAGGAGCAAATGTGAGAGGTTTGAGGCATTTTGGGGACTTTGGGGATTTTTTGGGATTTTTTGGGATTTTTTTGGGATTTTTTTGGGATTTTTTAGGATTTTTTTTTGGATTTTTTTAGGATTTTTTTGGGATTTGTTATTTCTTTAGGATTTTTTATGATTTTTTTTGGATTTTTAGGATTTTTTTAGGAGCAAATGGGAGAGGTTTGGGGCATTTTGGGGATTTTTGGGGATTTTTTGGATTTTTTGGGAATTTTTTTGGATTTTTTTTTTATTTTTTGGGATTTTTTGGGGATTTTTTTTGGATTTTTTTTGATTTTTTTAGGAAGTTTTTTTGATTTTTTATGATTAGGATTTTTAGGATATTTTTAGGAGCAAATGTGAGAGGTTTTGGGGCATTTTGGGGATTTTGGGGAATTTTTGGGATTTTTTGGGATTTTTTTGGGACTTTTTTTGATTTTTTTTTGATTTTTTTTTATTTTTTTAGGATTTTTTGGATTTTTAATGATTTTTTTATGATTTTTTTTAGGAGCAAATGGGAGAGGTTTGGGGCATTTTGGGGACTTTTGGGGACTTTTAGGATTTTTTGGGGATTTTTTGGGATTTTTTTGGGATTTTTTTGGGATTTTTTAGGATTTTTTTTTGGATTTTTTTAGGATTTTTTTGGGATTTGTTATCTCTTTAGGATTTTTTATGATTTTTTTTGGATTTTTAGGATTTTTTTAGGAGCAAATGGGAGAGGTTTGGGGCATTTTGGGGATTTTTGGGGACTTTTAGGATTTTTTGGGGATTTTTTGGGGATTTTTTGGGGATTTTTTGGGGGTTTTTTTTGGATTTTTTTAGGGTTTTTTTTTATTTTTTATGATTTTTTTAGTATTTTTTATGATGTTTTTAGGACATTTAGGATTTTTTTGGACCAAATGTGAGAGGTTTTGGGGCATTTTGGGGATTTTGGGGAATTTTGGGGACTTTTAGGATTTTTTGGGGATTTTTTGGGG